AGTGTATATTTCTGACGGCAAGAAGGATCCATCGGGTATAAGGGCTGTACATCCTTCTGGAAGCAAAGCATTTGGACTGATCTGTGTAGGTTCCGTGGAGAAGCTACACTGTGCTTTTAGTCACCAGAATTTGCATGTTCTCACATTGCCTTGCCTGAGGTCTGGGTTTCCCATTGCCTGCGCTTTAGATACTTTGTGATTTTGAAAAACATGTCTGTGAGCATGCCTGACCCACCTGCCTTAAGTGTAGCAGCTGTGTGCTCCTCCTCCCACAGCTGAGCACCCCAAGGGGCATGGTGAGAAACTCCTGACTCGAAAAGCCAGACCCCATGTACTTGGTAGGTTCACAACACCATCTCTCCCCGGGTTGCACAGCTCCCAGACAGGGTCCTCCTTTCCATCAATCATTTTCCTGTGCTTTGCAGTAGACTACACTGGTATTCAGAGAAAAATGCTACCATGACAACTGCCACAACAGATGGTATTTGATCAGTCTCTAAGCTACCAAGGAGATATACAGCAGGACTTCTGAGGTTTGCATAGTTTATGTTATCACGAGACCCATTCCAGCCTTAAGCATGATTGAAATGTGAAGTTTAGCATTTGTTTGCTATCCCAATTCTCTGTCCAGTTGCTTGGCATTTGGTCTGGTTCCTCTTGCTCTCTGGCTGTCTGGGTGGGAATGTGCTTCTGGTATAGGAGGGTGAGGCTGTATCGTACACAGCCTAGTAGAAGTTTCCCTGTAACCTTGAATTCCAGAGGCTTCTAGGAAACCATTGAACTTTGGGGTGAAGGTCCCACCTGAGACACGGTAGAAGCCACATTTTTCCTCGAAAAAAGGGAACCTTGGGGAAGTGCATCACAGCCTTCACCTGTTGCTTTTCCCTGCCTCCCTCCTCCATCCAGCACCTCTCTGCTTCCAGGGTCTTAGGGCCCCTCTGCTAGGCTTCCCACCACAGCTGTGCTGCAAATGCCAACAATTCGATCCCAGAGTTCCAGGGCCCATTTCCATAGCAACAGCTACAATAGTCTCTGGCCCCATCCCCGCCCCTCTTCAGCAACACTGGAATGTCAGACTTTGTGCAGATTTTTTTTTTCAGCTAATTTTGGAAAGTAGTTTATATTGGCCACTGTGTGTTAATGAACAGCCTTGCTCCTAATTACATACTTTTCTGGTTAGGAGTCTTTTCCATCCTCGCTCTGCCCCCCTTTATACCCGGATCCTCAGCTCAGGCTGGGCGTCTGCACTGCACATGAGGCAGGAGCCTTCTAGGAGAGGGCACAGGGCTGTCCTGGTGCCGCAGTGGTACTGGCCATGCCGTTGTTCCACCCGTCTCCAATCGGGGTTGGGAGTTTGCAGTTTCAACAGTGCCTAAAGATGGATTATTTACCTGTGCAGTATTTGCAGCAAAACTTGAAGGTGAATTTTAATCACTGAGAGTGCCTGGATCAAAGGGCCAGGCTCCCTTTCTGATCTCATTCCAAATGAAGCGGGAGGTTGGAATCCACATCTGACCCCTTTCTGCTTCCCAGCCTCACTCTCTTCCTGGGGTGCAGATGAAAAGAGCGCGGGGCTCAGCTGCCTTGTCAGGAGTGATTTTTAGCCTTAATGGAACATTATTAAAGAGTGGATTTGAGCCTTGAGGAATGTGTTTTGAACTCTGTGAACAGAGTTCATCGTAAGGGGGAACAACTCAAGGTGCTTGGTGGGCTTAGGAATGATCCTTTAAATGGTGGCCAAGTTCTCATTTTCTGTTGTAACGGTTTCTGGGATGTCATTCTTTGTATTCCATCTCCTCTTCAGAAGATGCCATTCTGGGAGCTCACGGGCCCCCTGCTCAACTATGGTAGTAAGGGAGCATCCTAACCTAGTCTCTGTGTTTGCTCTGATTCTCTCTGAAATTGGACAGAAATCAGTGCAGGAGTGACAATGGCTCTGTGGACTCCGAGGAGGAGGATTCTATAAACGCAGGCTGCTGTGACAGGCAAGAGCAGCTCCTGGGTTGCAGCAGCAGCTCGCCATTGATTTGTGTGATTTTGGTCAAGAAGCTGATCTTGTTACCTTACTTTCGCCATCATGTAATAACCCTTGGTAAGAAACAACACCATCAACAGAATGCAACACAGTATGTGACACAGCACATGTCTACATAGTTGTATTGACAGAATGAATGGGTAACAGTGTGATAGAGGTTAAAGCTGGGCTTAGTGGCACACAGGAGGCTGAGGCAGGAGGAATGTAATCTGAGCCCAGCATTGGCATCTTAGTGACATAGCAAGGCTTTCTCCAAAAAGGAAAGCTTGAGGATATGGGTCAGTGCAAGGGCCCTGGATTCAGTCTCCCATACTATTTAGCACTAAAGCAATCAATCAATCATACAGCTCAAGATTTAGGGGGTTCTCAACCTCAACACTGCTGGTATTTTAAGGCAATTGATTCTCCCCTGGGAGGGCTGTCTCATGCTTTGCAGGATATTTAGGATCATCTTTTGTGCCTATCCCCTAGACACCAGTAGTGCCACTCGCTTACCCCCAATTGTGACAGTCTGAAGCATCCTCAGTATACCCAAACTGTTCCCCCTCCTGCACCCCTTATCCTGTCCTTTGATGAAAATATTGAGCTAAATCATAAAATCTTAGGAAGGACTCCCCCAAAAGTCAACAGAGGACTAAGAAGAAATATGCCAGGTAACCAATTTGTATTACACATCCATAGAGTTTAACGTGGAAGGAAAGCCCAAAAGATGCTGAGCTGAAGTGTATGGAGGTTAAACTCATAGGAAGTCTCTACTTGGTACTTTCAGCAATATCATAGGCACTGCATGTTCCATAAATACGATGCGCAACTGTAGGTTTATGCTCCTTGGATGGCAAGCTCTACAGTACGACAGTGCTGTAATACAGCAGTGACCTTTCTTGAATATGTTGGTGCCATATTTTTCTTCACTGCCAGTACACTCTTGTGGGTAACTGTGCCCTACCCACCTTGACCCACCTACATGACACTTTCTAGGGTAAATACTAAGTGTGATGTTTGAAAAAACATTTTTTTCTTTGCCTTAGCAAAGATGGAGGATGGTCAATCTTTTATTTTTCTCATTTTCCATTGGCCATAATTGTCAAAACCACTCTTTCTTATCAACTATGTACAGGTATTAAATTAGCAGGATAGGATTATGGGAAGAAAGTGGGCCTGGGAAAGGAATTTTGTCTTGTTTAAAAAAAAAATGGTTCTGTTTTGTGGGGTAGTGGCGTGTTACCGCTGTGTGCAGCAGCAGAAATGAGGATAGTTGACTTTCTCTTCAATGCAGGGCTCTGTAATGGACTATAACAGCATTTAGGGTTTTATAAATGCACCTCCAACTATTCACTTCTCTTCCCTCTTACCCTTTCCTACAAGATGGTAGTACCTACTCATCTGTCAGTCATCCAGGACAGGACCAAAGAAAGGAAAGATTGAAAAGCGATCCAAGTTTTCTTCCATTTGTCTAGGGAGTGGTTTTCTGTGACAGTGGCTGGCATAATTCATAGCATTAGCATTTGCTTAGTTTGCAAGAAACCGGACTCTGCTTCTTTTTGTAGAGATGAGAAAATACCTGCTGGATAAGGAGCCTTGGAGGTGGATAGAGGTTGAGAAGGATGGAAACCTGTGCTCCAGGAGCAAGGCCAACTTCAAGCTTGGGGCTGCGTGGATTCTTACAAGATGTGTGCAGCTTTATTCCAGGGTTGTGTAGGTGGACTGAGTGCATCTGGACTGTGTTCATGTGAGAACACTCAAGAAATAAGGCAGATGTGGTGGGAGTGGGGATGTGGACTTCAGGAAGCCTTGGAGCCAGACTGCACTTGAAGCAGAGCTCTTAAAATGTGGTGCCTCACCCTCTCTGCGACTGTGGAAGAGCATCCAGAGTTTGCTTGGGGATAGGGAGGGAGGGGGATGACATGTACACTGTGGAAGACAGTCGTTTATTAGCTCAAAACAAACTGGTTTAAGTGTCTAACAATATGGATGGCGCCTGGGAGGTCATACGGGAGGGAGTGGTCACGGAAAAGAGAGGAGTCTTTACTGTGATTTGCAAATTGTGTGAAATTCAAAGATTCCTGAAGCACTTCCTTTTATTTATGGTCAGTGGTGACATCAGTCAAGGCAGAACATTTTCCTTTAAACCAAAAAGTACCCAGCCCTGATGACTGAAATGGAATGAGACCTTTGGGGGATGACCTGAGTGTTCTTTTGTGAGGGCTGGATGTTGGCTTGCCCTTGGCTGGGGCATCAGTCTTGGCAGAGCTGGGAGGTCCCCACACACTCTAGATGGTGGCTTCCTCCTTGTCCCAGAGAGCACAAAGGACAGAGCGGTTTGGGAGGTCACTTCCCTCTCTGGCCATCTGCAATGCCTGCCATCCTGAGAATTTTGTGAGTAAACATACCCGGATTCCTGCCACAACTCCTGTTCACCACTTGTACATTTGACGGTCTGCTTCTTTGGTGGCTGGAAATGTCTCCCAGCTGCTGGGAGATGGGTGGGTCCATGGACCTCATCCCCACCTTCATTTTTTCTGGCCACTGCTCAAATTTTCAGGATTGCACTGGTGACACTGATCAGGATGAGGATTCTCACTGTACCCTAGTTATTTTTGGCAGCTGTGAGCAATCCAAGGCCTTGACTTTTGGCACTGTGTGGTTGTGATATTAGGTAACTTTTCCCCATGCAAGTACAGACAAAGGGGAGTCCTAGCCTGCTTCCATTCAACCATAACCCAGTTCTTTCTTTCTTTCTTTTTTTTTTTTTTTTTGTCTTTCTCATTTTTATCGGTACCAGGGATCAAACTCAAGACTGCCTGCTTGTAAGGCAGGCGCTTATGCCACTGAGCTAAATCCCCAGCCCCCCATCACCCATTTCTAAAATGTTCTATTTGCCCTTGGTTCCTCACGAGAGATAGTTCTGGACAAGGCTGAATATTTATTAAGTATATATTGTTGCTTTTTTTTTCCTCCCCTCTAGATTGAAAACATAGATGCCTGCTTGAATTTCCTGGCAGCTAAGGGGATAAACATCCAGGGGCTATCTGCAGAAGGTGAGTCAGAGCGCTGGTCATGCAGCTGCCTTTTTGTCATTAACAGTGCCCAGCCGTTGTTGTTTACTGATGACCTTGCTACACTCAACACAGGGGATGCTGGTGGGCTCTTTCTGGTTTTGTTCCCCTTAAGGAGTTCTGCGCTTGCCTAAACTTGATGATGCCTGCTTTTGCCAACCTAGAGAATCACTCTAGGAAGACAGCCCTGCCTGCAAGCCTCTGAGGGGGTGGTGGGCTGGGAAAAGGGCTTGCTTAGACAGTGCCCATTTGATGTACCTGTCTGGTAGTGCAGCGAATGATCAAGTCAGGCTTTATCTGTGAGAGCCAGAACGTTCCACACAAAACATAATAAACTGTACAGCTCCCATGGAAAAATGCTCAATCCTCATCTCTTTTATGAGAGAAGCCGCACTCGGCTCTGTTCTTAAAAAGGAATGAGGTTTATTAATGCAACACTATGTTTTTACACCCTGATTAGTTTTTAATTAACTTAAATTTGGTGGCTAATTAGCACATTAGCTCTTGTGATGTTCTGCTGTTAAATCAGGTATTGGCCTGGAGCTGGCTGTTTGGAATTTGCAGCCTCCTCGGGCAACACCTCAGCTTGGAACTGTTCTCTGACTCCCCTGTTTGTAAACACCGGCAGCTGCCAGCTTCGAAGCTGCCATAGACCCGGCGTCCTCCCAAACTCATTAGGCTGCACCTGCCTCCAGCTTTCCTCGAACAGGTAGAGCAGTTGGGGCAGCATTTAGATGGTAAACCTTTCCCGGCAAGGGTGCTGTGGCAGTGGGGACTACAGGGGTCAAGGTGGGGTGGAGGAGAGCGGGGAGGAGAGACTCAGCTCAGTGGAACGGGGTAAGTGCGCATGCGTGATGTCTGTTGAGCGGGCACATTCCTTGACTCTGCTCTGCTGCTTGGTGAGAACTTGCTTCTCCTAGCAGCATTGGGCTGTGGTTTCTTCCATTTTGTGGGTGGGTGGCATAATTGGCTTCTGGGTGTGACACATTTGTAGCAGGACTGTTGGAATTTTCCTTTGAGGAGTACTAACCTGCTGGGTCCATCTTTGGCCAAGTATGGTCACACTGCTTTCAGATGTCTCTAATGCAGCCATAGTGAGGTCTGCTTTAGTCCCGGCTCTTATGGAAGGAGGCTTCCCCTCCCTTGGGGTGTGGGACCTCATCCATGAAGAATACATTGCTGAGGTGTGTGCAGTTGAGGGCGGTAGGGAGATCCAAATTCATTTAGAGGAATACAGTTTCCTGCTGGTGGAAGGTTCTTGGGCCAACCAGCAGGTGGCAGGATGTGCTCTGCCTAGTGTCTGATGGAGGCTGGACCTCGGGACAGGTAGGTATCCCTGCGGCAAAGTGCTAGCAGGAACTTATTTAGAGCTGTGCTCAGCGACACAGGCTCAAGGGGATGCAGACTGCAGGCTTGCTTCATCCCCTGGTTCATTGGAGGTGATCCCCAACAACTCAGCCTCTTCCCATTGTCCTGCCTTCTGCTCCATGTGTTCCTCCATCTGCCCCATCCTCTCTGTGCCCTAAGGCATTGGAATCTGTACAATAAGTGTCTGTCAGGAGGACAGATGCCAAGGCTGCTTGCACAGGTTTATCAGTACTGGCTCTGGCTCTTACAACTGAAGCTGGACTTTGAATACCTCAGTGTACAGATGAGGAAACTTTGTCTTAAAGAAGTGTTTGGAGAGGCATCCTGAGGCATCTGGCTAGAGTGACAGATCCAGGGTTTGAACCCAGGTCCATGTGATATCAGAGTTTATATTCTCAGTGGCTTCTAGAGAAGCAGATGGGTAAACTCAAGGATTGCCAAAGACAGATTTAAAACTCTGTTTCTGGGAGCATTGTTTGAGAACCTATTGGGTGGCCCTTGAAGGTGCATCCTGCAAAGAGATACTCAGCTCTATGCCCCTTTGTGAAGCTGGGGTGACCTTGTGGGTCTCTGAGTACAGAAGAGTATAGCGTAGTAGGGTGTTGAAGAAGCGACTGTAGGGTTACAACTATGAAGTCACTTTATGGTATTTCAGCTGTGCTCTGTTGAGTCTTCGTCATTCTTGCTGGCTTGAGACTCACTTAATGATATTTTGGCTGGAATCCACTACTTTTCATTCATCTTCAGTTATTAGTGTAATTTCGTGTCCACATTTATGACTCAGCTTGTTTTGTTTTTCCAGTACTGAGAATTGAACCTGGGTCCTTGTATATGCTCACCAAGCACTCTACCACTTAAGCTGCATCCCCAGCCCTCTTAATTCATTGTTCAACCTCCACTTCAAACCACTCAGAGCTGTGGAAGTGGCTGTCAGAAGTGGAAGGGGCTTGACTTTTTTTCCTTGCCCCTTTTCTGCTTCCTCTGCGTGATCAGCACAAGAGCAGAGTTCTGTGCCTGGCGAAGTTGCTGTCTTCCTCCTGCGTGGCCACAATTTCCGGCGTCCCAGGAATTGAACACCACTTACCCCAAGTCTGGAGACTTGCTCCTGCATGGTTTCCAGGCCACTAGGAGTCTTTGTAACTTTTGTCGCCTTCTGTACCTCTGCCTCATGGTCCCCTCAGCATTTAACACGGAAGCAGCAGGAATGTGTGGCCTTCCTTTTCTACTTGTCAGTGGGCTTCCTGTCACCTGGCAGCTTCTCCCACCCTCCAGGCTCTCCCCAGTCCTCTGTCCCCAGTCCAGCAGGTACAGGGGCAGAACAGCCACATCTCTACGCCTTGGGACTGAAATTCCAGACACTGTTTTTGCCAGCAGCTTATTTTCAATGGTTCTCCTGGAGCCTTGACTTCCTCAGTGAGAGCAGGAAATACCTGTCCTCTCTCCATGACCATCAAGCCTTGCCCCCCAACAGTGATGCTCTGTCATTCAATCTTTTTCATTGATTTCTTTGAGGGTAGGAAGAGAGCAGAGCTGGTGTCTAGCAGTGAGGTTGACTCTTGGGGAGGGTGATTTATCTCATCTTTTGTCACCTCTTTGAACTTAAAAAGAGCAAGGGTACTCATTAGCTTTTTATCTTTGAATTGGGCCTCTGTCACAATTCCACACACCAGAAATCTCTCTTGAAAGCCTAAATGGCAGAATGGAAACCATTTCTTGAGCACCTGCCATACATCAGTTACTGAGCACTTACATCTTATTTCATCTCCCCCCAGCCACCTTCTGTTCCCTTTCCAACAAAGGAGGGACCCAACTCTGACAGTCAGCTCTGCATCACTGTGACAAAAGCCCTGAGGAAACCAGCATAGTGGAGGAAGGTTTTATTTTGGTTCCTGATTTCGATGGTTTCAATCCTCTGTCTCCACTACTCTAAAGCCTGTGGCGAGGCAGAAACGTCCTGGCAGAAGGCATGGGGGAGCAGTGCTGCTGGCCTCATGGCAGCCAGGAAGTGGAGGGGGACAGCCAGCATGGAAAGGGACAACACATAGTCCCCAGGTCATATCAGGTGACCCACTCCCTTCGCGAGACCCTACCTCCTAAGCTTCTGTCACCTCCCTGTAATGCCACCAAAAGTGATCTCATCAGTGCAGAGTTAACCCATTGATGACATTGGAGCTCTCATGATGCTGTCATCTTCCAAAACTCCCACCTCTGAACACATGAGAATTTGAGGGTGCCTTTTAGGTCCAAACCATAACCCCAAAGCCCCAACCTATGGCAAAATGATGCCTACAAGGTGAGCAGGTCAGCTGTGCTGCTGTCCTCTTCCCTTCGAAGTCCTGCTTTCTCCTACTCACCACTGTCTATGTTTCTAGCCACCTGCAAACTCCTAGGAAAGCATTATAGTGTTTGAAAGAGAGGTGCAGTCTTAATGCTTCTCTTTTGAAGCTGATTGAGTGCCCCGAGGCTGCTCTTGTGATGAAAAGCACACTGGCGGTTGGAAAGCCCCAGAGATACATCCCTACCCTTTCCCAGTGACTAAAGCTGGCCCTGGAACCAGAGGGTGTGTGCACCTGTCCTGCAGTTGCAACAACGCAGGCCCTGACCTGCCTGTGGCAGCCACAGAGAGCCTTTGTTCCATGGCACAGACGGCAGGGCCTCGGGCCAGAGGCTGTGTGGAGGAGCTGCAGGCCCCGTGCTTTGGGTCCCCTCTGTGCTTCCCCCGCAGGAGATCAGCAGCCCTTTGCTCTTGGAGCTTTGCCAGAGTCCTGTGAGCTTAGTCTTTCCTGCCCTTGGGTGATGTTGAACCTCCCCCGCCCCTGAACACTTCCTGACACACACTACCTGTCACAAGTGTCCCTCAATCTTCCGCAGGAAGGAACAATGGCATTTTTCTCTGCTCAGTTTGGGGACAACTGGGTCTTTTGCTGCCTGACCCTGAACCTCTGCAGTGGAGCACAGAGGGCAGGAGGGTGAGGCATGTTCTGTGGAGAGCGGCAAACATCTGCTGGTCATAGGCTGTGTGCCAGGCACACTGCTAGGCGCTGGGGACCTGAAGTGCTGCCATACAAGTGCAGAATGAGACTTCATTCCAAGTAGTAAGAGAGCTCATGGGAAGGTCTGGCCCAGCGGTGGTGATCGGCACCTCCTGCGGTAGCCAGGGACTTTGCAGTGCCCTTGATGTTTCCCTGGCCTTTCCGGGATGAATGAGCACTCCCCATGCAGAAAAGAGAGTGAAGAGAAATCTAGATGGAGGACAAAACACAGGGGACATAGGTACATGGAGGTGAAGAACTGGCGCTTTATCAGCCTAGCAGGTTGGAGAAACGGGCAGAGAGATCCTTGCTGGAGACCCTGCAAAGAGTGTATCTGTCTCTTCCTCTGTCTTTCCTTTCTTCTGTCCATCCATCTTTCTTTCCCTCTTTATTTCTTGGTTTTCACTAAGTTACCAAGTTGCCTGGGCTGGGCTTGAACTCAAAATCCTCCTGCCCCAGCCTCCCAAAGTGCTGGGTCACACATGTGCACCACCACACCCAGCTGAGGGTGTGCTTTGAAAGTGAAATTAGTCACCACCCAAATCAGCCCCCTCGTGATGGCCTAGGTCTGTGGTCTAGGGACTGAGTTTATTCTTTCATCCTGAGCCAGAAAGCAGGGGGTCTCTGGACCTCACAAGTAGTAAGTGGAAGCTTTCCACCTCTTCCACCCTCATCACTGGAGTGTGACCCTGAGTAGACTGATTCTGCCCCTCTGCCCAAGGGACCCCACAGCATAGGCTCTGTTCCCACCCTGTCACCCTTCCCTGGTGAATAGTGCTGTGAGCAGGACATGGGAGGCCATAGGAGTTGCAGGGGAGGGTTAGGGTGGTCTGTGCCAGGTGCACAGACAGCCTATCTAACGAGACCAGTCCCAGTCAGTGTGGTGAGCCTCACAGCCTAAAGGGAACTGGCTAGTGGTTCTGTAGTCTGCAGTCTATAGTAGCTCCTCTTTGGCTCCAAATCCCCTTGGCCCCATGCCGCAGGTTTCTTCCTATTAGATTATTCCAAAGCTTGTGACTCTAAACCAAGGTTTCTGTTGAAAAATACTGGAAGATAATAACTCCTGTTTTGCTTACCTGTCATGATGATATTACCTGTGGCAACTGTGCAGATTGGGACCACCTGGGGGGTGGGCAGAAAGACCAGCCTGAAAGCAAATAACTTGTGCATTCAGACAGCACTGCATTCTAATGAACAGGGACATGGCCCTTGGCGTTTGTCCTTCAAACGTGACGTGACCACGGCCACGAGCAGAGAAGGCACTCAGCCCCATAGCATCTCCCTGGGCAAGGCAGTTCTCTCTAGTTCTGCTCTATCCCCCTCTCAAAGGCAAGGTGAGGTTGGGCAATCAGATCCAAGCTTTCTTTCCCAAGCTTTGGAAAAGGTCAGGAGGGAAACATTCCTGTGGGCTCTGTATTTTATTTTCAGGCTCCTTCTGTGGAGCCAGCTCACCAGGCTGTTGGGAGACAGACAAATACCATTCGCAAATGTGGACAGAATACAATTCTAGCTATTTTGGATGCTGTCTACTATAGACCACCCATGGTATAGATGATGGGGCTTTCAGAACATTCACCACTCTTGAGTTGTTGTGATCTTAAAAACAAAACAACAACAAAAAAATTGGGACAGCCCAAATATCCCTCAGCTGGGGGATGAATAAACAACAAAATATGGCCTGTCCATGTGAGGAGCTACTACTCAGCAAAGTAAAGAAACTGATAAATGCACTAACCTAGCTGAATCTTTGAAACATTATGTGAAGTAAAAGAAACCAGATGCAGAGATTACACACTGCATGGCTCCATTTCCATGAAAGGGTTCAGAAGAGACAAAGCTATCTAAACAAAGCGATTCATGGACTGGATTTGGATATTAATTGCAATGGAGCATGAGGAACGTTTTTGGAGTGATAGAACTCTTCTAAAACTATATTAAATATACTAAATTTACTAACCTTCATTGAATGATGTCCTTAATTTGCCAATTATTTGATACCTCTGTAAAGCTATTTTTAAAACTGTTACGTTTCCTGCAGTGTGGACCAGTCACGATTGGTTTCCTTCTGGACACTAGGGACTGACCTGTGGGGGGCTGTTGGGGGAGGGGTGAGCCTCTTCTCAAGCTTCCTTTGTGGGAGAGCCCCAAGCGATTCTAAGAGTGGTTTCTGAGCCAAAATACAAAACACAGTGCCAGGCCCTGCCCTGGGTGCTCTGCATGCATTTTCTCATTCCGTCTTCCCTCAGCAGCAACTCTCAAAGAGCAGGCAGGGGAGATGATACCCATTTTATAAGAGAAGAACACTGAGATCCAGAGAACTTGAATCAGAACAGCTTAAAGCACATCAGTGACAGACTGTGAGATTCAGCCATAGGTTTTTCTGGCTCCTGCAAATCAATGATCTTTATAATAAAAATGCTACCTCCTGAAAAAATAATGTGTTTACTGGAGGAACATTATGCCCTTTGATAGTTAAAAATGCTTTAGGGACGATGAAACAAGCCGCTCTGAATAGTCAATGACTTGACTACCACAACAGAGAGAGACTATGACAGGACCAGCCTTCACCATCTACACTGGAGTCAGCTGCTAAGGTCATGGGGGTGCCAAGGTGGACATGACAGGTTTCTGTAGTGGACAGCCTTTGAGGCGCTGGATATGCAGAATTAAATGTCTTGCCTCTTTGTTTTCCTTGTGTGGTTAAAAAAAAATTATGTCCTGGAATGTTTGACACACCACGAGAATAAAGACTACTTCCATGCCTACCAGCGAGCTTAATAAATAAAACATTATCTGTTCTGCTTTTCGGTGCACCACTCATGATGCATATATGTGTGAGCCAAGTTACACAGTGTTAGGAAGCCAAACTTGGAGCCTGAAAAACCTGGATTCAAATCCCACCTCCAGAGCTGTTCATTACTTTGGAGAGGTTGTAAAACCTTTTTCCCCTTAAGCAAAAGAGGATTAAACTACTTCTCAGGTGCACAGGATTAAATGAGATCATGCATATGGAGAGCTTAGCCTGGCACGCACTAGTCTATAGTAGTACTTGCTATTCCAAGGTGTCTTAACAAGTCACTTGATGTCAAAGGCACTAAAAATAACCCTTGTATAGGTTGCCTCTCTCCCCATGCTGAGTGCCATGTTCACCTTCCAGTAGATTCAGTTCAAAGGGAAATCATTTCCTCAAATTCCTTCACAAATGCCAATCCTGAGTGTCATCACTTGGTTGCCTCATCTTGATTCTGTCCCTTGCTGTCACTGTCCCACCAGGTAATTAATGACAGGTGTGTCACTTTATGGGCGGGGCCCCTTTTCCATGAGTAACATAAGCATGAACGGTCTATCCAACTTCACACTCCATGATGTGCGTGTGCAGGTGAGAACACTTGGTGAGAACATTTGGAGAACATGCAGATGTGTGTGTCTTCTCTGGTTTCTGTAGGATGGAGAAGGAAGCTACCGAAAGTTAAAGTTGGGTTATCCACAGGAGCCAGATACAGTGCATACCCATCTGTGGCACTTTCTCTGATCCCTCCAATGCAGGATACTCCACATTCAGTGACAGGATGTGCCGGTTTGTCTGGGTCAGTTCTGGATAGATTGGTCATCCTGGCATAATTAAGAGCTCCTCCCTTTCACTCTCAAAAATATCATGACTTGCATAATAAATGATGAAGGTCACTATGATAAAGGGCTTCATTTTTGAGACATGAAGCCAGAGCTGTATGAGAATCTTATTTGGGATTCTGGGGCTGTGGTCTTCATATAGTAACCAAGAACAGTGGGCTTTCACACAGACACTCTTATTTGAGCTGCGGGATCTGCATGTGTAATGGGACAAGACAGATGGTCTCAGAATGGCCATTTTCCTGAGGCACAGAGAGATGAAATGACATGGCCAAGACTGCACAGGTAGAGAGTGGTAGGGTACAGATTGGAACCCATGGCTGGGGTTTTCTGTACACTGATCCCAGCAGCTCTCATCCTTGATCAGAGCCTGCTGGCTCCTGAAGCACAGGTGAGGCCTGGGTTCCAAAAGTCCATACATTCAGTTCCTTCTAAGCTGCAGGAGGAGCTTCTGTAGGAAACGGCCCGTTCTGGCCTACACAACACATCTAAGACCTGGAGGCCGCGAGCAGGCAGGGTGGTTCTGGAGGTTGTTCACAACTTGGACCCTTTGCTGAGCCTGCAAGAAAGCACCAGTTCCTCCATCCATGGCCTTCCCAAGGTGACCCTGAAGTGTGCACTCCCAGCCAGGCAAAACTACAGTCTCCACCCCTGCAGCAATGTCCCTGAAGCCCCAGTTCCCATCTTTTCCCTCTAGATAGATCAGGGAGAAAAATGCAGCCGGATGTCTGCAAGCAAAAGGCCAAGCATGTTTCCCATGTAGTTCTCCTCTTGCTCTGCCATCCTGCAGGTGGCCTAGAACTTCACCCTTGGGTCACTTTCAGCATTGATCTTCAGCATCTGACTTAAAAGCACTGTGTAAAACAAAGGATCGCCCAAGAAACAGCCCCTGGTGACCCATCACCTTGGCCTGGCCTGTGAATAAATTATTCTTCTCAGCTCTATGAATGCCTTGAGGCAAGTGCATTTTTAACAGCTGAAACTTACTCTCTGGAATAAGAAGAGATTCCTTCCCATCGAGTTCTGATTTATTTCGGACAGGAGCTATTTCGTAGGAATGCTGTACAGAGGCAAGTCCTATGACCCATCCCTACACCCCCACATGAGAGCTATCTGGTCCACAGATAGCAGAGGAGTTGTGGATTTCAGAGGAAGATGACGGCACCATACAGAGCAAGGTTTGGGAATAGGGTGGCAACTACTTGGCACACGACAACGGCTCAAGGCTCAGGACATGGACTTGGCAGAGCCAATGGGCCTGACACGATTCCCCTAGCACCAGAGCATGCCTGGGTCCAGAGTGTCCGTTCCCTCTACTTGTAGGCAAGCTTGGTCTTGCTGGCCACGTTTGCTTTTTTAGTGGTGTTCTATCTGAGACTTTCCTCCTCTGGTCTTCGCCAGACATCCAGTTACAACTTGCCCGGTATAGCCGCTCTAATCCCAGTGGGGAGAATAAGCTAATTTCATTGTGGTTTAGGCCTGATTTTCACAGACCGCAGTGCCAGTGCAGTGTTCCGGAAGTGTCACATCCTGCAGGCTTGATACACATGTGTGGCCCATTTTAATGGGAGAAAGAAAGGTTCCTCCATGGCTAACCAGAGTCTCTTTATTGTCTTGCAGAAATCAGGAATGGAAACCTCAAGGCCATCCTAGGCCTCTTCTTCAGCCTCTCCCGATACAAGCAGCAGCAGCAGCAGCAGCCCCAGAAGCAGCATCTCTCTTCCCCTGTGCCACCTGCCGGGTGTCCTGCGGCCGGGGTCCCCTCCCAGTGCCAGGCTGGCACCACTCAGCAACAGGTGCCAGCTGCTCCCCAAGCCCTGTGCCAGCCTCACCAGCCAGCACCACACCAGCCATCAAAATCACAAGCTGAAATGCAGTCCAGGTGAGGGCTCCTTGCTGACTGACTTTTCTGTTGCCAGGCATCTATCTCTGCATGGACCACACTGTAGCCTATGCTGCCTAGGCTTCCCCAGGCCTGAAAAGTGCCAAGGTTCATGCAGGATCAGCAAGACCTTGACCTTGGCACAGTGGCCTTCTTCCGGTCCCAGCAGAGATGCACACTTTCATAGGTCAGTGTTTCCAGCAGCCAGAGCTAACAAGCTGCCCATGTTATCACTCTAGCCTGTTACACACCCACCTGTGTGTAATAAGCAGCACCTAAAGCAGACCTCAAACCCCCTTTGTGTGTTGATGTTCAAGCCAGATGCTCAGAGCTAAAGCGTGAGGGTCATTTTACTTAGTGAGGGCAAAAATTCTATTCTAACAGATGCCTCGCATTACCAGAAAGAAAATCAAGCAAGGAAAGGTATCAAGTGTAGGTAGGACAAGGCCAGCCCCTTTCCCCAAGGGCAGCATCCCTTGCTGGGGGCAGTGGCCAGGAATGTGACTGAGATTTGTTGAACTTAGAACTTAGAACGCAGGAGTGGGGTTGAACTCAGTGAGCAAAGGCTCTGCCTCACAGGAGTGGCCATTGCTTTCTAGAACCAGGACCTGGATTTGGCCGGTGTCCCCTGGGGATTGATGCTCCTACTGAGACTCACCATAGTGCTGTGCACAAATAGGGTGCCCATTGTGTACCCTGTGCTGTGCTGCAGGGGGCATGGCTGTCCTCTTAACTCTGCAAAAGGTCACCTTGCAAATCATTTGTTTTAATGGAAGAAAGAAAGGAGGGAATTAGGAATGGGAGAGTTTTCGACACATGGTAGGTTTCTAAAAAGAAGCCCATTGTGATTATCTTCAGGTAAGCAGTCTTAGCTGTAAAACCTGAATGGCCCTGATCTGATTGCTCCTTTTCATGTAATTTGTGCTGGAAAGTAATGCCTTGTCTTTCCAGTGCCCCAGAGCACCAGCATGGATAATCACACAGTTTCTTGCATGCCTTGATGGTCTTTATCTCCTGTTTTTAGTTGGACAAAGCCCAAAACTGCTCAAGTTCAGCAGCTGTCTTATAGATCATTGTAGCTTTTTTTATTTCCATGAGAAATGGGATTTCCCAATCGTACTGGTATTAAAACTGACGAGGATGGTGTAATGTAAGCAGGCCCCCTAATTAATTCTCTAATTATATCCAGTTCGCATTAGGGAAATGCGTGGGGTTGGAGAGATGTCTGGACTAGCCATGAAGACTAGACACATAGACACTGCACCCTTCCAGTGGGAGATATTCCAGGGTCTTGGATTCCCAGTGGGCCTGGGTGATTGGGACAGTCATTTGCCAGGCTGCTTTGTAAAGAGCGCTTATTCTCTGGCAGATTCACTTGGGTTACATTCTAGGGGAAGGGGGCGGGGATGAGGAATGGGAAGACAGCATGGAACAAGGTGTTGTAACTGTTATCTTAGGCCTGCTCAGGGGCTTGAACCTGCCGATGGACATTCTTTTCTTTAGTTAGGGTAAAGTCTTCTATGTGCCCAGCACTTGCTAGGCCCTTAGAAATCAAGGATAAACAAGATAACCAGGGTACCTGCTGTCCACGGGCTACTGGAGGAGGCCAACAAACAAATAACCAGGAGGAAGTGTTAGATGGTGGTGGGTGTCATGGCAGGATGATACAGTGAAGCAGTGCTGCAGTGCTAATCCTGATGGAGCTGATGGGAAGGTCACGTGGAGGACGTGACCCCTAAGTGGAGGGAAGTTAGTGCTAAAAACAAGCCAACTCTTCGCAGCTTGGTCCTAGAGATCGGGCAGAGGGAACACTGGCACCAAGGTGCTGGGGTAGGACATGGAGAGTGAAGGACGAAGGAAAGAGAAGCTAAGCTGGTCACTGCCAAGCCCATGGGAGGTAGTGGAGGGTTGGTGTGGCAAGGTCCCAGAGTGCGGAGGACAGAGAGTACAGACTTTGGACATCAGTCTAAGGAGTTCAGGAAGTCATGACAGGACCTTCAGTAAGAGAAAGACTTGCTTGCATTTATAGTTTTTAGGTTTAAAAAAGTTACCTTTGCTCTCTTTAGAGAATAAGGTTGTGGAAGACCAAGAATGGAAGAAAGGACCCCAGTAAAAAAGAGGTGTTTTGCAGTTCAGGAGATGGTAGGGACTTGGATGGAGATGGCGGGCACAGTTAGAGGGATAAACATAGGCAGGTAACTCGGGCTGAGCCAGGAGGCCTGCAGACAGCTTCCCTCTCTGGACTGCGAGAAAGAGGGATCCCAGATGGTTCTGGCTTGGGTAGTTAGGGAAGTGGAGGTATTATTCATGGACATGAGGATGCCTGGGTGCATTGTTAAGCTGTAGAAGGGGCTTGGGTTTGAGCATTTTGCAGACTTGGTCACAGTGCTGTTCTCATATTGTAAAGCGTCTCATGCAACAGGGTTCCAGGGGACGTGTGCTCCGAAGCAAGGAGCTGTGCTACCCTGCAGTGGCCATTTCCAGTCAGAGCACCCAAATCCTAAGAAGAGAAGACATCCCACTCTCAGTAAATGCAGAGCTGAACTCACTTAAGTCTATTTTGATTTCAGCCACCAGGTGGTTCCTGGCATCACGACTCGCCAGCCCTTCAGAGTGGTGAGGTGGGCTGGTGTTAGGAGTAGGCGCACATCCTCATCACCACTCTCCCTGACTGAGTTCCTTTTGCAGGTGTGGGTGTTACCAGTTATATACTGATACTTTTTAAACTTACTTTCAATGAATAATCTTGTTCTTAAAGCCTGAGGATATGATATGCCCTATCCAACTATAAATTTAAGAATTGTGAAATTTTATCACTAGCTTGGCTTTCTTATATTCCCAGCCCTCAAAGTCTGTCTTTGATAACCAAAGCCCCAAGGGTAATGGTTTGGACTTTGATCACTAAGGCCCATACTGACACAAGCTCAAATGCCAGGGTAGAACTCCACCAGTTACAAACACACTAGACAATGTTTTACAGCCAGGTACAGTCAGCAGTGTAGCACACACTAACACTTAGCAACACTTCATGAAGTTTGCTAAGGAAAGAGGTGTGGAAGATAAGGGAAGCTGAGGTACTGGCATGAATATAGCAGAGGGACTCCTCTAGGACAGCTGTGTGGGAGTCCACCTGCCTCCTCAGCTCTTCTCAAAGTGCCTGTGGTAGCCAAGGACTTGACCCACATCTGACCCCAGGAAGTCACTCACCAGTCTAGAGTCTAGAAGAGGGGTGTGGTGTCCAAGGCGTGCCTCACTCTCCCTGTGTGTCTAACTCACAGATGATCAGTATTCACCTATTAAGCAAAAATCCAGGAAGACGCTGCCTGCTTTTCCTCCATTGTCATTTCTCTCTCCACTTCCCAAGAACAGTGACCTCAACATTGGAGCTGTCACCTTGATCCTTTCATGAACAAGTCACAAGATACATGGGTGCAGCGGGAACAGGGATTTAGCTCAGAGGTATAAGCACCTGACTTGCAAGCAGGCGGTCGTGAGTTCGATCCCTGGTACCGATAAAAAAAAAGAAAGAAATCTGCATCCTGTGGGAGAATGCGGGCAAGGGGATCAAAGCGGGAGCATCCCCAATGTCAGAAGACTACTATTATTTTCTCTGTGTGTCTGATATGTTTCTTCCCTCTCCTCACTCATCTGTTCCACTTTTTTCTCTCCTGTCATGCAGTGCAGCACCCAAGGACTCATCTCAAAGCAAAATCATCCGCTTCACTCTGGGTCAGAGAAAGATCTCTAGGTTAGACTTCCTCTGTGTCCTGCAAAGCATGATTTACATCCCAACGCACTGCCCCTTTACCCACTCTGCACTGGCTTTTCTCTCCCTGTTTCATGTTTGCAGTTCCAGAAAACCAAACATGCTTTGGCTGACAATACAAGGATGGGAGTTTGGAAAGTGGCCATGGGGTTATTGAGTGCGTGCACGCACACGTGTGCGAATGCCTGTGTGTGTATCAGCATGTAAGTGAGCTTGAGGTGTATGTGGTGTTTCTCATTTAATTGCTTTTTGCCTTTGACTGCTTTGTTGCCAGAATTAACTGGGATGTAGGAAAAAGTGAGTCTCCAGATTATTTTTTATAGTGCTTTTAGGACGTTTGCTCCCTACGTTAGCCCTGCATCTTATCTGAACTTTCCTGCATCTTATTTGTGTGTAGTGTTGTTGGCATTATTATTAAAATTACTAATGTGGGATTGGCTTTCCCATGAGTTACAGTAATCTAAAATATGAATACCAAGTAGCGCATCCTTATCTTTGTGTCTGGGTGCCCGGGCATACCATGGAGAGATTGCTTCAATTCCCCCCAAAATAAAGTCAAAATAGAGTAAAAATAGGCTCACTCACTTAGTTCTCCTGATTCATAGCAGACTTTGGCCTGTCTGCTATAGCATGACCTCAGTCCTTGGGTGTTTTCTGGGGGGTGGTAATAGGAGGTCACATTGTTATAGCTGTTATTTTAAAGGTATGAACGATGAACATTTATTGACCAGTTTGAATGCATTATTTTGTTTTATTCTCACATCAGTCTTCATGAAGTAGGTCATTATTTTCCCTGTTTTATGGCTGAGAAAACTAAAATTTAAGAAGTCTGGCACTCTGGACAGGGTCATGCCGAATGTGGCGGAATCTGAATGATAGCCCTAGTGGTCTGTCCCCAGAATGCAGGGTTTATCCCCTGTACTTTTCCTTCCCCCACTTCCTCTCGTTGAATTCTTCCATTTATGTGCCTGTTGAAGCTGCTTCTTACTCTCAGGAAAGGGAAACCCACCCTTCACTTCTGCCATCATCCATGGTCAAATCTACACCGAGCGTCTGCTAGTTTCCCTGGTCTGCTAGGTGCTGGGTGTCGTTTCTAACCACAATGTACTTTTCTGGAAAGTTTGCACGTTGGGAGACCCAAACAAGGATCTGCCTGGGTTGAGAATGCTTGGCAGTGTCCCTCTCTGTCAAACACCAACACAGTTGGTTCCTTGGTGAGTGGAGAGGGGCCATCCAATGGGTCCTGAATTTGTCACTGCTTCTAGAAGCCATGTCTGAGAACAACTGGTTTCCCTGGTGAGTAACAGGAGGCCCAGATCCCAGAGCAGACACCAGTGCTCCTGCAAACCATTCCCAGTTAGTTTGAGTGTCATGCAAATGCACATACAGCTGGGAGGGGGGAGAGGCAGGCCTGGAGGAAATGTGAAATCAAGTGTCTGTTCCCACAATGTGCTCCGTCCTGCAAGATAAAGAAAAACAGGAGCTAGCTGGGAAAATATCTAATTGGAAGCACATGCCCATCCCATGCATGACTTGTTATCAGTCCCAGATGATGGCAGGGGCGATGTGTTGTGAGGCCTTAGGAAGAGGAAACTGGGAGATGAGGATCTCCCTCTCCCCAGGCTGTGCTGGGCACAGAGCTTCCAGGGGTGTCACCATAAGCCAAATGCGGGTTTCCCTTCAGGGTCACATTCTTATTAGAGTTTCCTTAGGGTGCATTTTATCTCTGCAAAGTGCAATAAAAGTTTATTCTGTTTCATTATTTGCCTAATAATTCCTCCTTACCCTCCCTTTTCCCACTTCCCAAAAGTCTTGAGGAAAATCCTGATAAGAACTTTAGCTGAAGAAGCACTCTTAAGTGTAGTAATAAGGTTGAGTTGCCAAAAAAGGCAACCTTACCCTTTTTTGGCTGGGTAGGTATACTAGTCAGCTTTTTGTCCCTGTGTCCAAAATAGCTGAGAAAGGTAACTAGGAAGAACAGAGGTTTATTTTGGCTTCAGGTTTCAGAGGTTTCAGTCTGGGATCTGCTGGCTTCATAGTGGAAACATGATGGAAGTGTATGACAGAAGAAATCAGCTCACCGTGGCAGCCAGGAAGCAGAGAGAGGGGAGGAGACAAGAGGAAGGGACTGGAGACCAGAACACATCCTTCCAGGTCACGTCCTCAGGGACCTGCACCTCCCAACCAGTTCCTACCTCACCACAGCACATTCAGCTGTGAACTTACCAGTGGATTAATGCAGCAGTGAGGTGACCACTCCTGTGAGCTCATCACCCTTCAAAAGCCCACTTCTGAATGCATGAGATATTTGGGGAACATTTCAGAGCTAAACCATAACAATAGACCATCTTCTCCAAGAGCTCTGGAAGTACATCACTTGATGGACTATAAACACCTTGAGTATCCTGGAGTGTGATCTGTGGGGCAGCTCACAGGTCTCCAGAGATTCTACCTTTGACCGTATTATTGCCCCATCCACTGGCATAGCTGGTGAGCTCTCTGCTTAAGCCTGTTCTGCTTTCAGGAGGCAGGAAAGCAATAGTGGCTACGAGATGCAGTCCCCACTTATTGTCTTATTTAACCTCTGTGTAAGCCTGTGGGTCCTTGTTGGTAAAACGGGGTAGTCACTCCTAATGTCAGGAGGGTTAAACCAAGTCACTCCAGGTCCATAAAACCTACATGTACTATAGACAGCAACCATATGGTGGGGGTGTTAATTTGGGTTGATCTAGGCCAGGTAAGGCAGCCAGGCCTCCTCCCACATGCTTTGCAGGGTTGATCCCTACACAGCTTTCTTGTGGAATGCAATCCACAGAGTTAGTAGTGAGTCTTGTCTGCCTACTTGCTGAAAAGCAGATGTCATAGAAATTAGAGATTTAGTATTTAATCATCTTTCTAGCAAAAAAAAAGCATCTCCGATTATGGGACATCCTTCCCCCACCCCAGCATGTGCTCACAAGCTGCAGTCCTTCCAAGGAGGGGCGCCCTCTGCTCCTAGCCTTTGAAGTGGTTTGGGGAAGAAGAACTGCTTTCTTCCCATCAGCACGTACCGTGCATAGAGCAGGGATATGTTCGTAGGTTATGTGCCGGAAATGACAGCTTTCCTACCCTGCCTGCTTGACTCTGTACACACTGGAGAAATTGGCTACAGCTCTAAGAACAGCAGAATTTTTCTCTTGCCTTTTCCTTACAACCCTTCCTTTAATGTTTTTCAAAAAAAAAAAAAAAAAGCAACATGTGTGTGCTTCCGAGAACCCATCTTACGGTGTTGAAACTATTTGGACATGGAATCAGTAGGAGAGGTCAGGTTCTGCTTGGAGGGGAGTTGTTGGGACCTTTTGGGTGCTATCAGTGGTGTGGCCTCCCCTCTTGCTGCTGGGCTTCTGCCAAGCAGGCCCTTGTGGCAACATCTGTTGTGGCACCTGCAGCTGTGCCATGTAGGCAAGACTCAGCTCCTCACCAAGTCAGGACTCTAATGCTGCTGGATAGCATGTGCTTCCAGGCTGGGGGATGAGAGAAGAAGTCCCCGTGATACACAAGGATATTAACATGAATGAGCTTCAAAACATTTAGCCAGGAGCCCAGGGTCTGTGTCAGTGGTAAACTAGAAGATATTCTACTTTAATGACAGCTCTATTCACTTTAATTAATGCCTGGTCCCTGGAGGGTAGGACAAAGTCCAAGGTCTTCGCTTCTCTGGCCTGACTTCCTCCTCCACTTGCATTCCCCTCCATTCTGTCCAGGTATCAGCACATGCCAGCTCTGTCCTCTGCACTTTTTGCAGGCTTTCCTTGTGGGTGGCACATTCTCAACTCTGCCTTCTCATTCAGCATGCCCAATCTTGCCCTGGCATCCTTTATTTCAACCTTCCCTGAGCATTCCATCAGCCTTCAAGGTCAACGTTTGAGTTCTCAAAATGACTTCTGCACTTAGAATATCTTACCATTCATTACACAGTAAGCCCATGGCAGCTGGGGTCAACCAGCCCCTTGAGGTCTAGACAAGGCTAAGATACTGGCTGTACCTTCTGTAGGCTGCAGAAAGTCCAGTGACACCCGCCTTCCTTCACACATCGCTGCCATGATTGTTCAGGTATCTTAAGTTTTCATGATTTTCTTTGACTTTGAATTCCTAAATCCTTGGCACTATTTGTCTTTTCCTTGTGAGTTCTTATTTCCCATCCACCATGTATTCACCGATGACTTTATGTGAGGTAGGTTTCATTAAACATTTCTGATGGATGAGAGGGGGCTTCACCCTGGAACAAGCAATAGTCCCAGCCCATTTATGACAGAACCCAAATTTCACACTACCACACCAGCATCAGTGCTCTATGAGATAATAACAAAATTGCTTAGTTTCCATGAAGTTTTCTAATTTGAGCAGATTCACTGAACTATCCTGACTTAGGTATAGGGGCAGTGGTGGCGAGTGACCTGCGCTGACATTAGGTTTTTACTGGCTGTATTTCCATGGTTTGCCATTTACTGGCTGTCTTTCAGGCCCTCAGGAATTCCTTATTCATGTCACAGGACACATGGCACAACCCTGGAGCCATTTGGAGGATGTGCCACCCTAGTCAAAGGAGCACTCAGGCCCCTCGGTCACTGAAAAGAGTTTGGCCACAGCCACCATGGGAAGCCCGGAATTATCTCCATTAATCAAAAACCAAGAATATTGAAAGAGAGAGAGAGAGAGAGAGAGAGAGAGAGAGAGAGAGACCTACAGATAACTCAGAAATCTCCAAGTATAGTAAGAATGTAGCTACTGGTGCCGTGGTTTCTCTCATGGGATGTTCTTTGACTGGATGAAGAGCGTGGCTCATAAAGCTCACCCTACCTTTTTGAAAATGTTGATTTTTGTCTCTTTTCTCTCATGCTTTGAGACCCATTGTTTCCTTGTTCATCTGATTCTGTCTTGCACCACAGCATGCTTGTTTTACAGTGTCCAACTTCTTTATGAATATGGCTTGAGCAGCACAGATAAAGGGGAAATTACATGAGTCCAGGGCTAACAACAGGCCAAGTAATGAGTCCCATTTCAAATTTACAGTGACTCCACTAGGCACTTTATTATCATCCCAAAGTTACAGTTTAGAAGTGTGACTCTCAAAGGTCACAACATCAGTCTAAAGTCTTGTGGGTGGGAAAGCCCATGTGCTATGCACTAGACCACACTGCCTCTCGGAGAACCAGACTGCCTAGCTGATTCAGGCTGGCTCCTGCCCCATCTATGCTCAGGTGTCTTGCCTCTACAGAGTCCCTGCGTTGTCCTAAAATCTGCTGTCACCTAATCTAGGCCCAGCTCAGTGGGGACTCTCCAGCAACTCTGGAAAGAATGCATCTTTTCCTCTTCATTGCTTTTTATTTCCCTGATATTTGTGAGATTCCCCCGTTGAAGGAGAATATTGTCACTGATAGCACCTTGTGCCACTTCATACCATTGCTATTGCCATCATCTGCAGACCCATCCTTAGTCTCTTTCAGGGACTACCTGTGACCATAATGAACCCTGCAGAGTATGGCCTGGTTCAGTAACTTCAGACCAAGGAACTCTTATGTCTGCACCCGCAGAGCCTCTGCTGGTGGCTGTGGCACTCAGATACCCCTGACTTGAAGGACATTGTGGGTCACTCTTTACATCAGTAGCAGAAGCAGGGTGTACTAAGGCCACGTTACTGCTTCTCCCTGACCAGGTGTAAACTTATCATTGGGTCTCAGGCTAGTTAACTGAGGTTTCAGTTGTTTTTAAGCATAGCTCAATGGGTTTTACCCAAAAGATACAATTAAATAGTTCATCATTTACTCATCTTCCGACTTTAATTGTTGGAAACAGCCTGCTTAGTAAAACCCTGGACCAAACCTGTGATTTTGGGAGTTTTACCCTTATCTGGAGAATAAGCTATACTATCTTTAGAAGTATAACAAGGAAGTCTGGTGACTTTATTTTCAAAACTACCCAAAACGAAGTGTTTTACTTAAAGAGAAAGTGTATGTTTGTCTTTGGGCTAACTGAATCCTGCTGGTTTTACAGAAAGATTTATGAATTTATCCATGGATTGTGCAGAGAATCTGGGCTTCAGCCTCAAAGCAATGCCAGGGAGACAGGTTGTCAAGCGTTGAAAGAAAATTGTGTCTGGACAGGTATTTGTATCTTAGCCTTAAGTTTTCATTGCAGATGTGTTGAGTTCTGTGTGGTAGACATTCCCTTTTTCCCGTTATAAACTGTGTTCTTTTCTTTATCTGCACATACCTGGATTACAGCTTCCAGAAAATGTGTACATAAGGTAAACATTTGAGGGGTAAGCTTTTTATGTTCCATGCTTGATGGAATTAGAGAAGATATAGCTTACTGAAAAGTAAAAATACTTACAAGGAAAGGAAAATGAGCTTTGTATTTTTAGTTTATGTATTTTTTTTTTTTCTTCAAAAGTTCTGTCTTTGCTCAGAAGGTTGCTAGGCACATTTTGCTACTGGACTTTGCTGGAGTTATTACTAGCCTAGATATTTGTAGTGGTTCCTCCAAATCCTTTGACTGGCAAAGCCCCGTAAACCCCATGTCTGGGATGGTATTTTCTTTTTTTTTTTTTTTTTAAACCTCCTACATGGCTGCAATTCCTTCTTCTGAAACGCTGCTCTTTTCCTGAGACTGAATGTGTTATCGTGAATGTTTTTGCATTTTAGACTTCCGGGTCCTACAGCCAGGGTATCTGCTGCAGGCAGTGAAGCCAAAACTCGAGGAGGGTCAGCCACAGCTAACAACCGGCGCAGCCAGAGTTTTAACAACTATGATAAGTCCAAGCCAGTCACCTCACCGCCCCCACCTGCAGCACCGAATAGCCACGAAAAAGGTGAGTCATCTTCTTTACACCACTTTTCTTTATAGCAGAACTGCTTCATCCCTTTGGGTGAAGTTGGTTGGCATCAGGGCTGAGTTTTCAAATAGAAACATGTAAATGAGTCACAAGGATATGCTTGATTGGTGCAACGTGGTTAGTAACGGCCTTAACAAAGTGGGGGAAATATGATGTTCACAGTTACCAGCCAGAGTAACTATTTGTAGCCAGCATGCTGGCACCTGCCTGTAACCACTGAGCTTGAGTGTCTTGGGCAGGAGGATCACAAGTTCAAGCCCAGCCTTAGTGAGACTCTATCTAAGAATTTAAAAAGATTTGAGGATGTAGGTTACTGCAAAGGCGCTGAGTCTTTTCAGAGTCCTGGGAATTAGCTCAGGGCCTGCAAAAAGAATACGTGCTTAATTGGGGCCCGTAAGTCACCTATCTACAGACATAAGCAATGTAGCACTTGGAATTTGCATCAGATTACATGCTTTTCCAGAAGGGTAGCCTTTTTAGAACATGCCCTTTGTGAGTTGATGAACTCTTTACCCATCAAAATTGAGAATTTTCACCTCTTAAAAAAGCTAGGACTGTGGGTTGGCTAGGTGAAGACCATGGCTACATGCAAAGAGCAGACCACATTGCTTTTGGTTGTGATGGTATCATTTTTGCGATAAAAGGATATGCTACTTTTACTATCCATGCCTCTGAGCTTTTAGGATGGAGAGAAAGGTAAATACCACCCTAACCCACCATGGGAGTCCTGCACAGAAGGCAGCAAAACAACCTTTGATTGCATGAGCCTGTAGCTCTTAAAATGCTGGAGGAAAGAGTTTAGAAGATTCTTCAATGAGAGGCAGTCTCCTTCCTGCCTGCCAGGCAAAGTGCTGTAGTCATCTTGGGAGATGTACCCAGATCTCCTGGAAGCATTTCCTACCTGGTGGGGTGGAAGCTCCCTAGCCTCTCTAGTGCTGTATAATGTCCCGTTTCTCTGAGATCCAGGGGAGCTACCCTGCAGTCCTAACATGCTCCAGGAACGTGGGCAGCCCTCCTGCTGGATGTGAGCTCAGATCTTCCCCACTCACTCCTCCAACCCAGGATTACTAGGTGCTCTGGAGCTGGTGTCCCTTGCAAGTTTGCTAATCACTGTATCTTTCCCCAAAAAATAGGAAGGGAATTTTAATGCAGCTGAAAGATACGTATGGCTGATTTCCCGTATCTGGGAGCTCTGTACCTGCATAACCAGGACATCTAACCTAGCAAAGATGCTCTGTGCTCTAGCCAAGCAAAAAGAAGAGGATTTTACCTTTCTTCTTTTTTCTCCTTGCATTGCCTTTCCTCATTTTTTTCATCATACCCAAATGTATTTTTTTTAAAAATGTGCTGAGGTTACAGAAATAATACATGCTTATAAACTGATGTATATTTATATATAATATATAACATTATATATATATATATATATATATATATATATATGTTTTCATATGCTTCTTTGCAAGTACCAATATAAACCATTCTATATGAATCTTTCCAGAACTTTTACAATGTATTCACATTTACACATGTATGGAAAGGATTTTTGTCTTACATCAATGAGTAAAAGCTAATTTTTATTTTGAATACTACTGTGTGCCTTGTTTACCCCTATTTTGCAAAGGATGAAACTAAAGGGAAGAAATGTTAGGCGGAGATGGAGAGAGACAGAACTGCATTGGGAGTCCAGCGTGTTTGTCCCAGAACCAAGCTCCGTGTTCGACTTCTTTTGGAAAACAGGAGCCAGGAACTTTGGCCACTGAAGGGTGAAGGGAGATGTGCAGGGGGGACAGCATTTGAGGGGACAGTTGGAAGGCATTCGGCATAAGTGGTGCTGGGCCCATCCCCTGGAGACTGGCTACCTTTGTCCCCCAATCCTGGGGAGAAGCTGTCATAAAAATAATTGATGGATGGATGTCAGACCAACATCTACAGCACTGAGAAAATAAAGTAAGAGTTCCCAGTGGACAGAGCAGGCATGGAAGGGTCTCGTGAACCAGGGCCAAGAGGCAGGGCCACTCAGGCACTGGGCCAGGAGTTGCCTGCCAGGGCAAGGACAGCCACACATTTGCCTGGAACACAGTGGGTTCCCCCTGGGTGCTGGGCAGCCAGAGAATGAGGTGGCCTCTTAGAGCACTGTGGCTGTGGCCTCTCACAGGATGACTGGTGTCAGAAGAAGGAAAAGGAAGTATGCTCTTTACTGAGCATACTTTGTCTGGGATGCTTGCCTGGGTTGGAACCCAGAGTTACCTAACAGACACCGTGAAGCTGGATGAGATGGAGTAGCTGGTTCTCATTGCGAGTCATATCCAGGTTCAATTCCGGGATTTGAACCCAGGCTGGGTCCTGTCCCCTGAGAAATCTTTTCCAAGGATTCAGTGAGATAATACCTGCGAGAGTGTTCTGTGCTCCGTGCAGCTCATGAGCTCTGGCCAAGGACTCTCAGTGATAAAGAGAACTGGCATTGTTGCCAGGCAACTTAACAAGACCCTGTCTCCAAATAAACAACCTGAGAAAGGACTGAGGGGTGGGGTGGGGTGGGGGGGGTGGCATGCAGTTCAGAGCCAAGGCCCTGAGTTCAATCTCCAGTACCGAAAAAAAAGAAATGTGGTAAGATATATAGAGAATGAAATCAATCCTCTTCCCCATTTTTGAGTGTGCAGTTTAATAATGTGAAGTTCATTTACATTGTTGTGCAGTCAACATCTAGAAGCTTTTCATCCTGCAAAACTGAACCTCTGTGCCCTTTAGCAACCATTCCCCGCCCCCTACTCCCGGCCTCTGGCAAACACTTTTCATAAGCAAAGTCATAGTCTTTGTCTCTTTGGGAACTGGCTTACTGCAATCAACACCCTGTCCTCAAGGTGGCTCTCTGTTGTCACGCAGAGTTCAGAGACTTGTCTGAGTGATCCACTGACCCCAGCTTTCTACTCTGGAATCAATCCAGTGATATCATTAAACTAAAAGGGAAACTTGTTATTCAGTCTATGAATGGCAAAACTATTTTAACGCCAAGTTCCAATTTTTAAAAACTATTCAGAAGAATAAAAAATTCTAACAGGTAACTTTGCAAAACTTACAGAGTTATTTAGACTTTAGATCTGCTTGCCATTCTCTCTGGACTCAGTTCTGGTTACACAAACAATCAACTGAGGTGGGAACGTGAGAGAAAGTGAGACATTAGATTCTCTGGTTAAAATTACTCAAATGACATAGCAATTTATGAAAAAGAAAAGACCAGAGCCAGGAGTAGTGACACTTGCCAATAATGCTACCACTCAGGAGTCCAAGGCGGGAGGATCACAGGTTTAAGCCCAACCTAGACTACTACTTAGTAAGTTCAAGGCCAGCCTGGACTACATAGCAAGATCTTGTATGAAACAAACAAACAAAAAATGAAGAAAAGTATCTCAAAACCCCCACAAAGAACCCTACACAATCCCAACCCCTTCAGATAGCTACATATATTTGCATATATCTATGTGTATATATATATATATATGTATATATATATATATTTTACAATTTACCACTTAAACTCTGCTATATTTTTTTCATGTATTATTATCACATTCTGATAGATAAGTTTCTCCCAGTCTTCACTGTTATGTACTCTGGCTGTTTGTCCTGCCAGTTGTGAGTAGAAGAGAAGAGCTAGAGATGGCTGGAGACAGAATTTTATAGCCTTCAGCACTTTGTCAGGTCTGAGCCATACTGAGACCACTGATTAAGAGTCCCTATAAATGTGTTACTTCCTTGTGGTTGAAACAAGTTATTTATCTGGCGTTAGGGATTAAGAGATGAAACCATGGAAATCTTGGCCATGTCCTGCTGTTAAACTAGGATTGTGACATAGAGTTACAGTTGAACTACCTGGAATTAACCCAGTAGTGTAAGCCATGCAAAAAATAATATGATTGGTGTGTCCCATTTCACTTTCTTTCAGTTTGTAACCATTGTGATGGGTGTAGCATTGGACTCTGTCTTATTTCCTTTCCTTGGCACTGGGACATAATAATGATACTTGCAACATGAAGGATTTATTTTGGCTGATGTTTCATACTCAGCTGGCTCCAAAACAGCACAACATGGCAGAGGACAGCTGCTTACCTCATGGCATCCAGGAAGCCCAGAAGTCAAGGGAGGAGCCAGGAAGGGAGACAAACCCTTCCAGGTCATCTTAAGTGACCTCCTTCTTCAACCAGAGCTCCCTGCTCCCCACAAGAAGTCACTGTAGCACCCCATCACCCAGTCCCTCTCCAGACACATGAAGCTGTGATCTGAACCCTACCAGACTTGATGCAGTGACTGGCACTGCTTCCCAGGGCTCATGGCTTCCAGAGAAGTGGAGGTCACGTATTCTATAACAGAGACGTTTGGAGTTACAAGGAAAAAGATGACATAACCAGGAAGGCTGAGGGAGGACATCCAAGAAGTGACATCATTTGCACTGATTTCCACTCCTAGATTTTTACCTAGTGAAAAGGAAAGGATGGCTGGGAAGGTTGACTCACCCTAGTCCCCTGGCCTGGACGTCAAAGGGAGAGCACGTCTGCTGGGTTTGGTGCAGTGTTACACTCATGCTCTTTCTGACCTGTGCAGCTTAATCAGTAAAAGTGCCTCTGTGATGGAGTCAGGCTTCCATGGTTACCCCCAGGGCTGTGATGCTGGGCTGGGGAGAGCGTTGGTGTCTGTGGCTTTGGGAGAGGGCCATCGTCACTCATGTTTTGGAATTATTGCTATAATCTTCTGTCCAGAACCCATCCTTTGCAGACTTGGAAAACCAGCTTGGGGGATCCAGAGGTGCAGGCTGGCATTGTTAAATTGCCTCGGAGATTGTCTAAAAATGGAACTCAGTGAACAGTGAGACCACTTGGCTTGGTGGAAAGGAAGAGTTAGAAGGAACCAACTCTTAGGGAGTCCAGGGACACCCAAGGATGAAGGCACAACACCTAAGGAGGTCAGGCGCACAGATC